GGGAAAAAGTCATGCAGGATACGGGAATGAAACGGGGGGGGCGTGTCCATGGAGTGCTGGTGGTCGGGGGAGGTGAGGCCGAGGCGAACAACCCAGGAATGATTCAAGAGGGAAATCCGAAAACAGGGCAAAAGTCCAAGGCCAGGCAATCCATCCGAGACAGACGATCTAAAATCAGAACCAGGTCGGGACCGGCAAGGGAAACTGGAACTGGAACTGGAGCGCCCTTAAGAGGAGGGGTTTGAGATCATGACAAATGGTGCTTCTGCAGAAAGTGGTAAGAATGGGCGGGAGAAGGTTTGCCCTCCTCAGTTGCCGCAGGAAATAGAGACATTGCTGTGCTTTCTTGGCTAGGGAGGTGGTATTGAGGGACCAAGTGTGTCACGAACAGTTCTTTCCAGGCCCTATGCAGATGACACAATCCGGATTAGTGAGGAAACACCGGAGAAAAAGTCATGCAGGAGACGGGTATGGAGACAGGGGGCGTGTCCTAGGGGTGCAGGTGTCCAGGGGAAGTGAGTCCGGGGCGAACAATCCAAGACGAAGTCCAAACAGGGAATCCAAAACAGAAGTAAAGTCCATGGCCAGGCGATCCATCCAGAGGATTAAAAACCAGGAACTGGGTCAGGACCGGCGGGGGGGATCAGGAACAGAAACCATAGTGGAGCCAGACGCAGCAGGACCTGGGCTCTCACAAAACGGAATTCAATGAAGAGCCTCGAATGACTGCGTCTGGCTTTTAAGGGGGAACAGAAGAGGGGCTAGAATAAGGAACAGGTGCGGGTAATGGGGCAGAACAAGGAGCACCCTTAAGAGGAGGAGTAGCGATCGTGACAAAGTGAGATCATCTGTAATGTGTACACCAAGAAACTTGGCGCTTCTAACTGTCTCCACAGGGGAGACATTGATGTACAGTGGGGAGTGATCAGCGTGGGGCCTCCTGAAGTCAGTGATTATCTCTTTTGTTTTGTTTACATTAAGAGATTGTTGTTTGTGCACCAGTCCACTAGTTGTAGCACCTCCTCTGTGTGGTGACTCATCATTGTTGCAAATGAGGCCCACCAAGTGTATGTCTTAATAGGCAATATTTATTATCTTCAGATTTATTTCCTCTGCCATACTATTCCAAGTGTTAATTGATGAGTATATCTTAATAAAGATTTTGGTTTCAGTATGATTCTGAGGATGGAACTGTCTATGAGGGAGAATAAAATTCATTAATTTCAACTCACATAGCATGGGAGCTGTAGCCAACCACTTGTTACATTTGCAGTAGTCCCTCACTACATCATGTGGAAGCAAAGCAAGACCACCAGAATATACAGTAGCCTTTCTTTGTTTACAGGTAAAGTTATACAAACAACAATTAGAGAGAACCTAGAAAACAAAAATCTAGTAATTTTATGAGACAGCAATCGTTGATTTAGAAAGAGATTAACTTAAAATTCTTTGACTAAAACAGTTGACGACAATTAAGAAAATAAATCAGGATAAAGAAATTCCAGGATAATAGAAAATTAATAACAGATGACCATAAAGATATAGTAAACAGACTTAAAAGCTGCTCTCAGGTTTCTACATAGAAGATCTCAATAACATACCCCTGTTTCAAAATGAGCTTCAGTAATAATGGGCAACTTATCTCACACTGAGGTTCTAGAGGGGCAAGAATGGCCAATCAATCACCAGATCCTGGCAGTATTTTCCTAGTCATACTAACGGAAAAGAAAGGTGTTTTCATAGACCCCACTCTAGGATATTTCACCTCTCATGGTGTGGGGATGGGAGAGGTACTGACAGATTAGAGAATGTCATATGTAACACCAATTCATTAAAAGGGGGACAGAGTGAACCAGATAACAACAGTCCAAACAGTTGTATTAATATAATGCTATAAAAACAGTATTAAAACCTATATTAGGAGAATATGTAAATTCTTTAGATATGGTTTGGGTAGCTTAACTCAAAAAGGATATTACAGCCTTAGAAAGAGTTGAAAGAAGAGCAAGAAGACTGATTCCTGCTCTAAGGGATTGTTGTACACAGACAGGTTAAGGAAGCTAAAACTCTTCAGTCTCCAACAGAGATCTGATTCAAGTAGAAACATTTATATGGAACTTAGTAAAAGTCAGAATCTCAAGCCCCAAAAAGGACACAGAATCACAACTGGAAGCTAAAGGGGAATTCATTTTACAATGAAAAGAATGGGAACACTTCTTTACACGAAGAGTTGTGAGAGTCTGAAACAGGCTTAAACATGGAGCTCCTTCAGGAAAAAACTGGAACGACAAGCAAGATGGACCTAATGATTACTACATGTTTGGATCTTATCTTAA